GCTACAGTTTAACATTGTGGAGGACGAGGGGCTGCGTTAGATAATTTGGATCGCATCCAACGTGTCGACGGCACATCACAGCGCTTTATTTTGACCCACAGTGGGAACTTTAGTCTCATGCTTTGACTGAAGAGCAACTGTTTGAGCAACTGGCTCAGTGCAGAGAAGTACACAGGGTTAGGAGAGAGTGAAGCGAGAGAGAGGTTCCAGGTTGTTGTGTTGAGAATATTCAGGAGAATATTTGTCATTGTTCCAATGATAATAAACAAACATTTGCATAAAGCATATTTCTCCACTCATATACAGTATTGATAAGAGTATTAAAAACTTGAAAAATATTCCTTTAAGGTACATTTAGAACAGATAAAAAATGTGACTGACAGCCCTAATAAAAACTTGTCTGAAAATGAGCTGATGGGATTTTGGCCACTTTATGATGTCATAACGATGTTTTGGCTTGTGTAACCATTAGCCAATCAGCAACCAAGGTAACCCGCCCCCCCCCCACCACCTTATCACCTGAATCTCCTCCTAGAGCTCCATTGTGTTCTTTGTAACCAAATCTCCCTCAGAGGGGCGTGGGGAGGGGCTCCTTATTTTCATATAAAGTAACAGACAGAGAATCAGCACTTTTTAAACAGGGCTGAAACAGGGGGGATTATGGGTAATGCTGCAATGATCTGTTTGGTGTTTGGAGCCAAACGATTCAGAGACATGTTCTGTATATATCTGAGACCTATAATGTATTGATGAAAAACAGTATAATAGGGGACCTTTTTAACACAAGTACCTTTGTCTCTCCATGGCTCAGTGGTGAAGCAGAGGATGCAAATGTACAACTCTCCGTATCGAGGGCTCTGGGACTGTGTTCAGACGGTGACTCGTAAGGAGGGACTGGGGGCTTTCTACCGCAGCTACAGCACGCAGCTCACCATGAACATCCCCTTCCAGGCCGTGCACTTCATGATCTACGAGCTGATGCAGGAGCAGCTGAACCCCCACAGACATTACCACCCCGGCAGTCACATCGTGTCGGGGGCCGCAGCGGGAGCCATCTCCGCAGCGATCACCACTCCGCTGGACGTTTGTAAAACTCTCCTCAACACTCAAGAGAACGTTGTGCTCAGCTCCGTTAACGTCAGCGGACAGTTATCGGGGATGGCTAACACCTTCAGGACAGTGTACCGCCTCGGGGGTCTGCCGGCCTTCTTTAAGGGGGCCCAAGCTCGGATTATATACCAGATGCCCTCCACTGCCATCGCCTGGTCGGTGTACGAGTTCTTCAAGTACTTCCTGACAAAGCAGCAGATGGAACATGAGGCAGGACCTCGATCTAGGAAATGAAGAAGACTCCAACCTGAAGCGAAATGAGCTCGCTGCGTGCTGTTATAGGAAATAACGCAAGATGTTGTCACAGAGGGAAGTTGGCTGAAACTTGATCACCTTATAGTCACTTGTCGAAGTCTGGGTGTCTTTAAAGTTAGTTGCCCAACCAGGATATGCATCAGAGATGATCGATAAACATAGGAGAGTTCATCTCGTTCCTCTTCCACTCCACAGACGCTCTCTCTCTTCCACATGTGGAGAGCGTATAACTAAGTTGTCTTGAACGATGTTTGTAGTTTTTAATATTGGAACTTCTTATTTATTTTGTTTAGCTTGCAGAGGCTTGTGTTTTACGGATGCGGAAGAAACTCAACGCTGTTTGTTTGTTTTTGTTTCACTGTGTATTTATTAACAAAAAACATGACTACACATTCCTCATTTTCGCTACACGGCCAACGGAACAGTTGCGCTTTCCAAGTGCCTCATGATTATGATTCTTTTTTTAGAAAACTTTTTGTCCTCGGTTTTATTTTTCTTGCTTAAATTAAAGGTGGGGTATGTCATTTATTTCAGAAACACTTTTTGTTATATTCCATGGAATGCTCTTAACATCCCGATAGCAATGAATATATTAAATGCTTTGACAAAAAATACATTAAAAAAATGTCATCTCTGGAAGCCGTGGCGCTGTAAAAAGCACGACCAATCATCTGAGCCGGCCCGGCTAAAGTAACTGGATGGCCTACCTGCCTGTCAGCCTTCCATCTGTGCACAAACTTATCCCGTGCCCTCATTGGTCATGTGCGCGTTCGTGTGTGTTGGAGGAGGGGCTCTGTAAGGAAGTGGCAGATTTGTTCCGGTTGTGTATTTTCAAATTCTAGCGCACTCGAGCTGGTTTCTTCCAATCTTACCTACCCTACCTTTAAATGACATCATTGGGCCAAAAAACAAATTTTTTTCCTGTTGATTTATATTGGGAAAGAAAAGTCTGTAAAACAGCGTTTAGGTTAAACAACTACCCAGTACGGAGAATTGAAAAGCCCTTATTTAAATCATTATGTCCTCCAAGTTGTAAATTGTACTAAGAGTGATATTTTCCCTTTACATTCATTTTGGGTAATTTCTGACAATGTGGGGGCGGGGCTTAAGAAAAACTAAAGTGCGCATGCAGAGTTAATCTGTTTCAAAATGATAAGTGTTTTTTCATTATATTTGAAATGACTATGTAATCTACGTTAGCTACTGTAGCTATCTTACAGCAGATTTGAAATAATATAGGAAGGATCCATGTGTTCACATTGTTAAAAAAAAAGCCAATAAAACGTACACTTGAGGTAAGGTAGGTAGGTTTTATTGCATTTTTTTTTAAACTGCCGCAAGTTTCTCCTAATGGAAGTGTATTGGGCCTTCGTAACGTGTTTGCCTCGTCTCCAAAAGTGTATCCAGTTCTCTTTAAACATCCGTGAGTTGTACTTTCCGTTGAAATCTCCCCGGACATGATGTTTTAGCTTAGATTAGATTCCACTTTATTGTCATTGCAAAGAGAACAAGTACTGAGAAAACAAAATGCAGTTAGACGTCCAGTCCAGAAGATGAAAACAGTGATCTGAAGCCATGCTGTATTTCACGGTGAGTCCTGTGATTTGCCCTTGACTTCGATCAATTCATTGCAGAAGTTGTGATAAGAGCAAAGCAGAGCTGTGGCGTACCTGAGACGAGTGAACGCGCTGCAAGGTAACGAGGGAGGACAGGAGGAGGTAGCTGCAGGACAGCAGGGCTGAGGGAGGACAGGTTGATGGAGCAAATAAGGAAGAGGAGGAGGAAGAGGAGGAAGAGAGGACTGTCTGCAGCTGGTCCATCAGGCCGCTGTTGGAGAGCAGCACGGAGACAGCTGGGGAGGAGAAGGCATCGTGTCATTACACTTTGATGGGATCTGCGCTTGTATGTCAGTGTGTTTGTGTGTGTGAATAGCAGTTGGTCTGCAAAGCTGCATGGTGCCCACACACAACTACACACACTTTCATTTTTCTCTTTGTGGTGTCTTTGAGGACTTTGAAACATTACAAATTGATAAACTCCTTCAATTTAAAACAGATTCAGGCAAAATCACACACACACACACACACACACACACACACACACGCACACACACAGACAGACAGACACACAGACACACACACACACACACACACACACACACAATCACCCACTCACGTGCATGGTGCAGATATCTTTTGGTTTGACAACCAATATAAGAAATGAATGTGACCTGAAGCTAAAATGAATGGAATAAAAGGAGATATCATTTGCATAACATTGGGGTTGTATACAGTACACTGGCAGCCAACCTGGGCACTTGTAAGTAATAGAATTATTTAATTACGCATAACTTAACATGGTAATATCTTTCTCTTTGCCTTGAGATAGAGGATTGTGCTACTCTTCTATTCACCGTCAGTTTAATCGACTTCTAGCCTGAAGCTGGAGGGCTTTTCATCCTCAAACTCACCACTAGTGATAATGAAGCAGATGGTTAATGTAGGTACAATACTGCAGAAGCATTTAGGTCATATTCTTGGGGCATAATTAGCTTTGCTTCCCAATGGCATCCCTGCTCTCTGGCCACTCTTCTCCCCTTGGAGCAATATCCCCCTTCTACTTGTCTTTTTTCTTATTTTTGTTTATCTTTTCTATTTATTAACTTTATATTTCATTAGTCTTCACATGTTATTATGTTATTGTTTTCATTTTTTTTTTTTTTTAAACGTTTCAATTATATATCATTTTTATTAACTTCCATAGTGGATTAAGGTCTGTGAACTAGGTCTACTGTACTTACCATGTTACTGTGTGTGTGTGTGTGTGTGTGTGTGTGTGTGTGTGTGTGTGTGTGTGTGTGTGTGTGTGTGTGTGTGTGTGTGTGTGTGTGTGTGTGTGTGTGT